TTAGTATTTTTTTAAATAAAAGTTATTAATATATAATATTTTAACTTAATACTTAAATAATATAAAGTAAGTTCCTAAGGTAATAAACTAAGGTTAATTAATTTATATTAGTAAAAAAAATAAAAAATAACTTTAAGTAAATATAATTATAAAATAAATAAAATATAATAAAAATTTAATTTATAATTAATTTTAATACTTTATTAATAACTATTTATTTAAGTTATTTAAAAAATATAAAAAATTAAATTTTATATATTTAATTATTTTTACTAGTTTACTTTTAAAATTATAAGCCTAAGTATAAGATTACTATTTTATAAATAATCTATTTAAGGTAGTTTATAATAAGCTTATTACTTTTATATTAATTAATTTTTTAAGTAAAGTATTTTTTTATAATACTTTTGTAATATACTTTATCTTAGGTTAAGCTATAATATAAGCTTAAACTATTTTAAAGTAATACCTTTAAGGTATAAAGTAGTAAAGTAAACTTTTTTTTTAATAATATTAAAAATATTTTTAAAGTTTTTAAAATATACTTTAAGTTAAATTAAATAAAAATAAAGTTTTTTAATATTTCCCTTAAATATAAAGGGTAGTTAATATTTAATAAAAATTCTAATAGTAATAATCTTTAGTTTTTCTTTATTAAGTTTATTAACTAAAACTTTATTTAATTAATATATATTTTAAATAAATATAAAGAGTTTTAAATTTTTAAATAAGGAAATATTAAGTAAATTTATTATAATAATATTATTATTACTTTTAATTATAAATATACTAAAGTTAATAATTAAAGTTTTAAAAACTACTTTAGTTTTAAGTATAATAATTTATATTACTTAAAGATATTTAGTATTTTTTTAAATAAAAGTTATTAATATATAATATTTTAACTTAATATTTATAAAGTATAAGGTAAGTTCCTAAGGTAATAAGCTAAAGTTAATTAATTTATATTAGTAAAAAAAATAAAAAATAGCTTTAAATAAGTATAATTATAAAATAAATAAAATTTAATAAAAATTTAGTTTATATTTAATCTTAATACTTTATTAATAATTATTTATTTAAGTTATTTAAAAAATATAAAGAATTAAATTTTATATATTTAATTATTTTTAATAACTTACCTAATAAAGGTTTTTTATATTTAGTAAGCCTATAACCTTAGGGTTAAGGCTTATATATTATAGTAAATATATTTAAATAAGCTTATAAGGTTTTCCTTATAATTAACTATCTTTCCTATAGTTTACCTAAGGGGTATATACTTTAAGTTAGGTTATAATACTTATTAACTTAATTTCTAAATTACTTAAAGTTAAGCTTTAATTATTTATAACTTTTCTTTATTTTTAATAATTAATTTAATAAAATACTTTAAAAAGTTTATTATATAAAAGCTATTATAATTAATATATTAAAAGGGGGATAAGTAATTTACTATAAAGCTATTATATTTATATAAAGGTTTACTATATTTTAAATATTTTTTAATTTTAGTATAATTCTAAGGGTTATAAAATTTAAAATATTATTAATATTAAATAACCTAAGGTAGCTAAACTTAAATTTCTACTAAGTAAGAGTTATTAAAAAGCTTAAAGTTAAGTTTAATATTTTTTATAAATAATATAAAGTAGTAGTATATATTTAAGGATTTTTTAAAGTTAGCTTTATAGTAAATAGCAGATAGGTTTTTAACCCCTACCTTAGTATATACCTCCTCTAGGATTAATTTATTTATAAAGTAGGTTTTACTTATATTAGTGTATATTTTTAAAATACTATATATAAGAAAAACCTTTTATAAGTATACTTTTTTAATTTTTAGGCTATTATTTTTTATTATTAACTAAAGTATAATAATTTTATTCTTAATATTTTAATTTTTATTTTTAAAAGTAAAGCTTAATTAAACTTTTTAAAAATAAGTAATATTTTTATTTATAAGTTTTAAAATTTTAATTAATTTTTATTTAGCCTTAATAGCTAATAGCTTTTTTTATATATAATCTAAGGGAACTTAAATAAAAATATAAGTATTAAGGCTTTTTTTAAATTTATTAGTTTTATTTATATTTTTTTTTATTAATAATAAGGGCTAGTTTTCTATTATTAATAAAAAAGTACTTTAGGTTATTAATTTTTTTTTAAAGTTTTTATTATAAATATTTTTTTATAATATAACTTATACTTATATAACCTTAAAGTTTTTTTAGCTTACTTTTTTAATAATTATAAAAGCTTTTATTATAGTAGGGTTTTTAATAATATTTGATTTATTTTCTTTATTATAAAATATATTAACTAATACTATTTTAATTAATTAAGTAGTTTTTCTTTTATTATTTAACTTTTTAAGGTTTTTAAACCTTCCCTTAAAGTTAATATAAAAAGTAATAAAGTTTTTAAATATAATATTTAAGTATAAATAAACTTATTTTACTATTACTAAGGAAAGTTAAAATATATATTATATTAAGTAAAAGTTAATAGCTATAATTATATTTAATATTATATTTTATCTAGCTTATTATTATATATTAATTTTATTAATTTAATTTATAATTTTATTTTTAATAAAGGATTTTTCTTTTTTATTTAAGTTAATAACTTCCTTTATATTACTAAAAATAAAAATAATAAATTCCCTTAAGGCTCTTTATATTATAACTAAAGCTATTACTATACTTAATTTTACTTTAAAAAAGCTAAATAAAGGTATTTTATTTATATTAATAGCTTTTTTAAAGTATATTTTTTTTTAAAAGTAAAAAGGAAAATTATAAACTTTTTTATTTTTAAGCTAAAGGGAGTTACTTTTTTCTAAGGTTAAATAGCTATTATAAATCTAAGGGTAATAGGGTTTAGTTTATTTTAAATATCTAAAGGGTTTATAAATATTTCTATTTTTCTAAAGTCTTTAAATAAAACTATAAATAAAAAAATTATAGTTATTTTATTTAATAATTAGTTAAATAAGTAGGAGTTTTTAGTAGTTAAGTACCTAAAAGGTAGGGTACCTATAGATATAGGAGGGAAGCTTATATATAAATGCTAGCTAGCTACTGCTTTTATTATAAGTAATAGTAATAATAATTATAAGTATATTCCCTATGTAGGATTAAAAAACTTTTTTAAGTTTTAGTAAGTTAATGTTTATTTTTAAAAGGATACTAATATTTAATTTAGAATACTCTTTTTATTACGTAATTAATACTAATACCTTAGTAATTTTCATATAAGCCTATATAGTATTAAATAAGTATTACCTAGTATAATACTTTATTTATTAAGTATTACCTAAGCTAGCGTATACTTAGCTACTTTACCTTAATAAACTAAAACTATATAACTAAAGTTAAATAATTTTAATATACTTTCTTTAAGGCAGTAAAAAGAAGTAGACCTAGTATATACTTTATTACTATATATTAAAGCTCCTTATTAAGAGTTATATTACGACCTGGATCTTATGGTTGCGATAATAGGCCTATAGGTTAGACGGTCATAGATAAATATCGGACTAACTAATTAATTAGACATAGATTATTAAATTATTTAATAATCTAATAATCTATAAGCTAGATTATTAGAAATTCTAATAATCTAAGGCAGGATTATTAAATCCTTTAATAATTTAACCTAGGTTAACTAGGTATATAAGTTTACTTTATATTACTTATTAAAATACCTAAATAGCCAGTTGTTATTACAGCATTTATAATATAATTAAATTAGAACCTAGATATTTACTTTTATTTATATTACTAGCTGGTAATAAGATTGCCTGTTACCGACCTGATCGCTCCGCTAACATAAACCATAGAACCACTCTAAGGTTTGTCCCTTGGAAACAGCTAACCTATACTGACCTATAGGACCCGGTTCGTCATAAGTTACTTATAGCACTAGTATTACTATCGGTAAGGAAGTTAATATAGACCTGTTTATTACGTAGGTTAAAAAGATTATAATTAGCCTGTTAAATCTACTTTTCCCGCTGTTCTCTAGTACTAGAGCAAAGTTGCTTAATTATTTTTGCTTTATATCCTTCTAGCTGAGCCCCGTTTAATAGTATCTTGGATTAAAATTACTAATAAGCAACAAGGATAAGATAGAAGTTTAAGCAAGGAGAATTCTATGCGCTGTGCCGTATGTAGATACCTGGATAGAATAAATTTCTCAACTCTATATACCTGATTTTCTAATAGTATTCATGCCGGATCCCTCCTCAATAATATTTGGCAACCTTCTCTAAAATGCTCTTCCATTTTAGGAGACAATGGGCTTTTTTAGCCAATAGGCAACTAAATCCTGCATCTTTACGCACAAAGGCACCTAAATTAGCTAAAACCAGCCGTATCTTATTACGCATCAGATTTTAGTATATATATATATTAGCTTTAAAGAAAGCAGCTTGAAGTTATCCATTTGGTGATGCAGACTGTCTCTACCGTCACGCCAATAGGGCAAAAGACCAGACTAATGATCGCAATTATAGCAATCATTATAACAGTACTAGCTATCTATAAAGGATTAACCATGCCAGAATGTAACACTTGGAAGTGGATTCTTCTAGCTCTAGCTCTCGGCTGTACAACGTTTTTGCTCGCTAATCTCAATATTATCAAGCTATTTTAGATTCATATCTACACACAATTGGGTTGTAACAGGATATGAAGGCTTGAGGTGTATATATGAAACTGCTATATAAAATAGTTCAAAAGCTTCCTGGATATTTACAAATTTATCTTCTTATCGCCTATCGCTCTAAAACCTGAAGACAAGACTCCCACATCACTTGCCAAGATGTGGTTGAAGTAGTTACAGCCTCTTTTTACGCTTAACTACTCCTTGACCTCATTCAAGAATTGTTCCGAAGTGATCACACTTCCCTGCAGAGGAAATATTTTCTTCATTAATACATCGTGTACATCAGCGTTGATGTCCAGGCAAAGGTCTTCGACTACAGTGATCTCATAGTCTAGATCCGCGCTTTGGCGGACTGTGGAGAGCACAACACCGCTTGTCATAACCCCTACCAGTACCAAGTGCTGGATACCGAGACTTCGAAGCACGACCTCCAAATCTGTGCCGGAAAATGCGGAGTTTCGGCGCTTAACCACAATCACATCATCTGCCGCAGGTCTCACTTCGGAGTGGAACTCAGTAAACGAGCTCCCTTCAACGAAAATCTCTTCGCCTAACGATTTTACCCTCATTACAGCCTTATTCCGTGGTGAGGCATCTGAGAAGTTGCGACGGAAGGACGACTTAGTGTAGATAACCGGAATACCAGCCGCGCGCGCAGCAGAACTCGTAGTCGCTAGACGCTGGAAATAGAGCTGTGGGGCTTTAACCATGTTGAGGACGCCATTTTGAACATCCATGACAAGAAGCGCCTTTTTCGACATAATGATTCTTAGTTAAAGTGGTGTAGTTTAAATAGTTGGGTGTTTCTAAGGTAGAAGTCTTGAAAAGTTAGAGGAGAAATGTGAATGAAGATGCTGAGGTAGCCGGGCTGGTAAATTTATATCTGAATCACTGCTCCGCTTTAGCGCGACCTTGAAGTACTGGCGGCAGCCGGACTTAGGTATCAGCCAGCAGAAGATCTCCGTTATCCCCTTTAACGCCAGGTTGAGAGTCAGCTCACTAGCGGCTGGCTAGGACACAAACTATAACAGGCAGTTGGGCCCTGATACATCAACAGGGCGTGTATCGACACGGGAAACCGACTATGGCATTTTGACCACAAGAAAATGAACGTTTCTGCGGAGGATACAGGGTCTACCAGGTATATTATTATGGTTTACCGGCAATGTAATAGGAGTCTTAGCTGCTTCATTCTGCTATACTATTATATCGCTCGATGTACAAACCCGCAGCTTCTGATATTATTAGAGAAAAAGAGTACAGAAGTTTGACTAATTAGGAAAGAAAATGTAAATGAAAGTTTATTTTCTAGGTGCTAATATACAAATAGTGTACATCATACTCTGAATTACGCGACGGCAGCAAATTCTTAGGGTGCGCTCCGAAATCAACCCTTACTACCCTTTATTAACAAGTTCTTCATTAAATCGGATCTTAGTATTGTCGGCTAATGGCTACTTAATCAAACGTTGTATATAGGTGCTGAAGGAGTATTCCCAGCTAGCTTCTTACCTGTAGAAGGTATAAACTTCTTCTCTTTATACTACTCCTGTGCTGTTTGTACTAGATATTTTACTTTATCTAAACCAAACTCTGATTCCTCTAGAAGCTTATAAACGCCACTAGCATAATCAGGAGATATATTGTGTATTTGTGCCAGATATTTCTTCTGTAATCGTCTTATTAGCGCTGCTTTCCTAGTGTATTCCGGTTATATACTACCTTAATATCTTTATACGCCATAAGTCTAAGATACTTGGCAGTGTTCTTACAGGTATTCTTCCTTTCTTGAGAGGTTATGACCCTTGTCTAGAGTTTAGTTGCTTAATTATAGTCGTTCTTTTTGCCTTTGTGCTAATAATGACTCTTTCGGCTAACTAGGTTGTCGCTAACGGCGTATGGTGCCTCTGCTGTATCTGGGCGGAACTTGTGAGTAAAGCTGTTGGGTGCATACTGTTTATTACCAGCGTGGTTGGTATCTGTAACGTCCTAACCTAATACTTAATTAGTATAAGGTAAGTTCTTAAGGTAATAAACTAAGGTTAATTAATTTATATTAGCAGAAAGGATAAAAAGTAGCTTTAAGTAAGTGTAATTATAAAGTAAGTAAGATATAATAAAGATTTAGTTTATATTTAATTTTAATATTTTATTAATAATTATTTATTTAAGTTATTTAAAGAGTATAAAGAATTAAATTTTATATATTTAATTATTTTTAATAGTTTACTTAATAAAGTTTTTTTATACTTAGTAAGTCTATAACCTTAGGGTTAAGGTTTATATATTATAGTATATATATTTAGGTAAGTTTATAAGGCTTTTTTTATAATTAGTTATTTTTTTATAGTTTACCTAAGGGGTATATACTTTAGGTTAGGTTATAATATAATACTTTTTTTTTATTAGTTTTATCTTTAAGGTTATATATAGATTAAGTTGCTTATTTTCCTTTATAAATATAATTTTTCCTTTATTTATAAAATACTTTATAATATTATTAAGTAACAATTATTTATAAAGAAGAAATTAATAAAAAATTAAACAGCAGTAGTATTAGTAATTAAGACTATTAGTATTATTATTATACCTTATTTTTATTATAAAGTAAAAGGTTTACTTTATAAAATAATAAAGGGGTATAATAAATATAAAAAGTATATATATTATAAATGTTTTTATAATAAAAATAGGATTTTTTTAATAGTAGGTAAGTAAGTTTTATTAATATAGGGTTTAGTAACTAATAGTAATTAGTATAATAATTAACTATTAAAAAAAAGTATCTAAATACTAAAGAGTATTAAACTAAATAAAAGTTATTTTAATAATAATAATAAATAATATTATTAACTTAATAAATAAATAAAAAAATTTTATATTTAGCTTATTTACGGAAGTAATAGAAATAAATTAATATTTATAGTAAATAAATATTATATTAGGGTACTTACTTTTTTAATAAGTTAGATAAGGTAGAAAAGGTAGAGTTAAAGGCAGTAATTAATATTTAAGTAGTAGGGGTAGTAGATATTATTAATTAAAATATAATTTTTAGTAATACTTTCCTAGATTTTTTTAAAGTTATTATTAATTTTTCTTTTTCCTAAGCCTTTAGTTTAGGGTATAAAGTTTTAAGTCTTCCTATAGTATAAGAAGAAACTTATATACTTTTTTCTTTTACTTAGGTTAACTTTTTATTTATTAAGTAGCTGGTATTAGGAGTTTTAAGTATAATTTTAAATTTTTTTAAAAATCTTAGATTAGTTTTATTATATTAAAGCTTTTAATAGGTTCCTATATATTATAAATTAAGTTATATTTTTTCTATTTAACCTAGTATTTAATTTTATTATTTTCTTTTAGATTCCTTTATATTACTAAAACTTTTTTAACTTTTTATTTTTCTTTATCTTTAATAATAATAATTTTATTTAAGATTAGTTTTTCTATTGCTTTATTAATTTATATTTTTTTTAAAAGTAAAAAAAATAAAAAGTAGCTTTAAGTAAGTATAATTATAAAGTAAGTAAAATATAATAAAAATTTAATTTTAATATTTTATTAATTATTATTTATTTAAGTTATTTAAAAAGCATAAAGAATTAAATTTTATATATTTAATTATTCCTAGTAGCTTACTTAATAAAGTCTTTTTATACTTAGCCAGCCTACGATATTAAGGTTAAGGCTTATATACTATAGTATATATATTTAGGTAAGTCCGTAAGGCTTCCTTTATAATTAGTTATTTTTCCTATAGTTTACCTAAGGGGTATATACTTCAGGTTAAGTTATAATACTATTAAAATACTAATATTATTTATATATCTAAAGTAAGTATTAGGATTATTAAGCTTTAGGCTAAAGGAAAAATAAAGTATAAAGATAATAAAAAAAATAAGGGACCCCTATAAGGTTTTATATTTTAGCTTTATTTTTAAAAAGGTAATCCTATAGCTATTTTAAATAAAAGCCTTATAGTTATTTATAAAAAAATTAACTTATTTTATAAAAAAAAAAAGCTACCTTTATTCTTTAAGTTTATATATTAAGTAATTATATATAATAATATTAAATATACTAAAGATATTAAGTATAAAGAGGGAAATAATATAACCTTAGGCTAAAGTAACTTTAGTATTATATAATAAGTATATAATAAACTGGGTCCTATAGGTACTATAGGTTAGCTATTTCTAAGGGATAAACCTTAGAGTGGTTTTATAGTTTATATTAGCGGAGTAGTTAGGTTAGTAAATAGGTAATTTTATTACTAACTATAGAGTAAAGTATTTAAATACTTAATTTAATTACTATATATTATAATAATAACTAGCTATTTAAATATTTTAATAAGTAATATAAAGTAAACTTATATATTTAGTTAACTAAGCTAAATTATTAGCAAAGGTTAATAATTCTATTATAGATTATTTTATAATTTTAATAATCTATTTATAAATTATTAAATTATTATAATAATTTAATAATCTATTCTTAATTAATTAATTAATCTATTATTTATCTAAAACTAACTACCTTATAGGCCTATTATTATAATTATAAAAGCTAGGTTATAATATAATATCCCCTCTTATTAATTTTATCTTTAAGACCTTATTTATTTAGGTATAAATAGTTTTCCTTACTTTATAATATATTTTTTATTACTTATTTTTTTCTTTTTTCTTATATATACTAACTTACTTAATAATAATAAATAAAGTATTTAAAAG